CGAAGAGAAAGTTATTTTTATCACTTATTATATGAGTAAAAGTTCCCTAGTATGAGCTCTAACACTATTTGAAAATTAAAAATGCCTTAGAGTATAAGAATGCACGTTGCTAAGAAGCTTATTTCCACGCAATGTCTTAAAGTTTAAGGTAATAATCCCACAGAGGCAATATATGTGATGCGTGCAAAAATGTATTAAGTCCGTAAAGGATCGTTCACGATGACCCTAACCGAGCAATTGTCATAGGATTTTTAGCACTGACCAGCTTAAGAGGGTGCTTAGCACATCGCTTGCCCTTTGGTTAATCGAAACAATCCCTAACTGAACTGCGCTTCGCCTTTTTGACTGGAAATGTGAAGGTGCAGAACGGAAAATCGGTAAATCAACCTCCGCAAGAAATTTTGGTTTTTATGAAAGATCGAGAGAGTAGTAAAAAACTTCTTCTTTTTTTCTAAATTTTCCTGCAAACCGCAGGATCTTTGGAGCCGACTTTGTCTTTTAAGGCTCCGAAAGAAAGTTAGTTGTGACATAATAGCATGACCATATGTCGAACTCACGTTACTAGTTTGAGCAATGCTTGTGTTTGCACCGGCAGCTCGTGGATGTCCATTCACTAGCAAGTCTGTCTCCATTCTGAACACCGTCTGTTGATGAACCTGGAACATTCAACAGTAAAGCAAGTTCAAATTTGACAGCAAGGAAAAGAAGTCAATGCAGGGCTCACTTGTTTTTGGTCTTTTCGTCCGACTGCAGCTTCTCTTACCATATCCTTCCAGCTTCCATCGGCTACCGTTGTTCCTTCAATACGTCCACATTCACCGCAGCGTCCCACGGCGAGGGTTGCTAAAAATTGAAAAATCAGAGAGCAACCTCAGATTACTGTTCTGGAATTTTTTCAAGGTGTTTGGAAAAAGTAATAAGACTTACGTTTATTATTACAGCTGGTGCATTGGAATGGAGTCACCTTGACTAGTCCAAACTTGGGCCGTTTACGATGAGTTGTGAGTATGGCGCAAACCTAAGCTGTTCGTGAGAATTCAGATCAAAACTTCTAATTGTCATACCTGTATTCCAAAATCTTGATCTTCGGCAACATCTAGGCTTAAACTCGTTACGGTGCCGTCCACCTTTATGTCCCTTTTGGTTGCAAGCTGCCACGTTACAAAAGGAGGATTACCCTATCAAATTAAAGATTTACAATTATGTAGCTGCTTGCTTCACTAAAACGATCGGATAACTCTCTCGTACCTTCATCTGTGCTGGGCCATAGCGAACGTGATAGTATAGAGGAGTACGATTTGCTGGGAACCAAGTAATTGTTACGTGTCCTTGTTTTCCTCGTACATCAAGTATTTCCATACAAACTGGGTTCGCTTCTGCAAAAACTCGGCTTCCATTAAATTTTTTGGTAGTTGAGACACACTAAAGCAACCTTTCGTGCAAACATCAAGCTCGGGATTCTTTTCGCAATCAATCTCGATGTTTTTCTGCACGCTGAACGGTTCAAGCCTAACGCATCTGAAATCTAATCTTATGCTTAACAAAATAAGATATAAAGAAGACAGAAGTAGAGAATCGAAATTGAAATACCGGATGAAATCAAGTTTATTTGTAACTGAAGAGAGCGCTATTAGAGCAGAAAGAGAGTGCAGAATAAGATTGAGTAGATCAAAGCTTTTTTTAAATTAAGCAGACTTTTACTTCATATATTCCATGTATAGTGAGAAAAAGTAGAGGCTGGTCATAGCAGACAAGGTAATGTTTGGTTATTGCGAAGCTCGAAAACTTAGATCTCCTCTATTGCTCTCAGCTGTAATCAGTATCTGCTGATCCAAAATATAACAAATGGATATATAACTTATATACCTTGGAAGCATTCTGACCTCAACCCACAAACGACATCGAGCTTCAAGTACTGTCGACGGTAAAGAAACAACAAGACGTCCACCAGCTCTAACAATTTCCTGTAAAGCACTCACTGCTTGCGTGCTTAAAAATCACATACATTATAGTGAAACTTAAAAATTACAATTTTGGGTTGTGGTAGCTCATCCTCTGGTGTGCGGCACTGAAGTGGATACAAAGCGGGAGCCTCGTATCCATAGATATCAGAATCAGAGTAGCCCCTAGGCGCAACACTTTGAAGGACGTTCTCAAAAAAGTTGTGGGTTTATACCTTGGCAATGTCCACCTTATGTAAATTTTCAGTGAATCCGTAG